ATCAACCAAAAGACTTAAAAAATCCCTTGAAACAGTGAGATTCGACTATAAAGACATCGGACGAGTTTTACAAAAATCCTAAGTCCTCTACGATTATCAGACGATAACTAATTTGTCAAGAAATTAAAAAAATAGTGGGGTTTTTTTTATATTGGATGAGTGGTGAATAATTGATTTTATTTTGATAAATATTAAAAGTATAATAAACTTCCAAAATAATTTACAAAGTTTAATAACTAATTATATAAATATGAATCACAAGGGTGATGTCTGATTGATTTGAGCTTGACTCTAAAGATCAAAAGTACCTGGAGGTCCCAGGTTCAATTCCAAGAAGGAATAAAAATCCTCTTTTGACCACGAAGGTTCAAATGTGCTGACTTCGGCCTATCTACAAACAAATGATCGCCCTGAGATTAGTCGGCTCGCATAACGGATTAATATCCAAGTTAATCAAAAAATAATAATATAAATATGACCGTTTATACTTTTAACTTTATAAATTTCAGTTATTTGTATGAGTTTTGGTTTCTATTTTATTCTACCACATTTATTCCTCCCCTGTTATCAACCTACCCTTATTACCGAAATGGGTAAAATTTCCATCTTACCAAACAAGACTGACACGTGCTACAACAGGCGGGACAAAGGGTCGTTGTTCTTTCCGATCTCTACGTATTGATTAATACATAATCAATCCAACAATACTTGAAAACACCTCTTTTGAACCCCATATGTGAAATAGAAGAATCGAAGTTGATTTGCTTTATAAAAAGATCTCAAAAAACTAAATGATAGGGGCTCTGTGAAATCTTCGAATAAGGTAAACTATGTTATAACCATTTCTACATAGACGCTTATGACGTCCCCCACTATACATTGGACCATAGCAATGAATCTATTCGAAGCGGCTCCCCTCAATTCCTCTGAGTTTCATAACAAATTTAATAATCAGTAGATCCGCAATTTTATGTCTGCTAAGTGTTTTTTTAAAAATTCTTACTAAAAAAAAAGTAGTCATTAACTCACAAATGTCCTTTTTGAAGGCATGCCAGGCCAAAGGGAGGTCAAGAGAAAGCTCAATCTATGATACAACCCATAAGAATCTAAAAAGTGGCCTCATTCTCCCTCTAAAGTTTTTTCTCACACACTTTTATTTAAAAGTGAAACCTTTTTTTGACAAACTTTTTTTTAATTAAAAAGTTTTCAAGATTTTAAAGAAAAACAGATTCAAATGTATATTAATACGTAGGATAATATTTTAACTGATAAAAAACAACTTGTTAGATGATTGAATAGAAAAACATATTTCCACTTGGGATAAATTCGTTTGATTTCTGCATTCGTAAAGAAACAGACAGATCAGAGTTGACAATAACTGCTTTGGTGACATTGAAAGCTTGAATATAGTGCAAATCTGATGGAAGTGTGTCGAAGAATGGCGAAAGTGAATGGAGACGAATTGAAACTTTTAGGAGTAATCGATGAAAATGGTCGAGAATTGGAAATCATGTTTGCTAATTAAGTTGTAGAAGCGAGAACATACAAACAAAGAAGCTGGAATTGGACAACGATCGTGCGAGTCATGTAGGAAGATTAAGTGAACACAAGAAACTGGAGACTTATCGTATTAAGTAAAACTACAAAAAAACAACCTGAAATTGATGGATGAAGTTTTTCCAAATAAATGATGGTTGGAGGTCGCTCAAGGCAGCTGAGGCCTAAAGGGCAATAAGGCCCGACCCTTTAATATGTTAGAGTAGGTTATTTATCCACATATCTTCTCAGTCATACACTCCGCTCTCAACATACATTCTCGACCTCGCGCTCTCGACGACAGCCAGGATCTGCTCTCGTCTCTCGCTCTTGATCATCATCTGCTCTCGCCCTACCTCTGGCTCTGAACCCTCTCTTTGCGCATCTGCGATATGCCCCTTAGGCTCTCACCCTCTCTCGACCAGCATCTGCCTTTGTGCCCACTGCCCATGTGTTTTCTTTTCTGGTTTCTGATTAAGCAATAACATATAACTGATGAGTAACTAGGTTATTACTTATTAGAAATTTAGAATATTAAGTTATTCACTTAATCACTTATTTGCTTAGGGGTTGTTTGTTTACCTCTTAATAGTTCCATTAAGAGGCAACCTCTGAATCGTTAAGAGGTGAATCTTGTTTGGAAAAAAAAAAGTGTGCCTCTTAATGGTTCTAAAACCCTCTGAATGATTTTGTATCATCGGCCTTCCTTAACCATTAAGAGCCTTAATTTCATTGTAAACAATCACCACCAAACAATTATATATCATTTTGCATTATATCATGAGAAGCCTCTTAATCATTCTGACCACTTAATGATTCTGCACAAAATCATTCGACAACTGCCAAACAACCCTTTATTTGTCTATATGAATGCTTATACATTTGCGTATTTGGTTATTTGCTAGTTTGTTGTTTTATTATAATTTGTTATTAGGTTATTACATATTAGGTTATTAGATAATTAAGTACTTTTCCTAAATAAAAACCATCTAGTTGTTCTGTTTGAGAACACTGTTTGCAGAAGGTTTCTTAACTTTATTCTTTTGCCTATTTAGCTAACTATTGACCTCGCACATTTTGGAGGCAAACTTTCAGTTTGAAACTTTTCTATCACTCTATGTTTTTGCTCCATTTGGGAATAATTTTTCTGTTCAAGTCTGGGCCTTCTTCTAACGTACAATGCAAAAGAATCACGCATAGGTTGTGAATCTAATAATGTGTTGGAGAAATTTGAAGTCGACAAAGAATCCAATCCCATAAGCTTAGCAACTACCTCGGGGGTTTATCACATTCATCTCCATTCCTTAATGAAGATGTACAACTGTAGACACTATAACCTTTAAGACTCAAATTCTTTGTTGTATAATCTTCATTCACTTGTGAATATAACAAGAATTCGTCTAAATCTAAATAGAACGAATTTGTCTAAATTTGAATAAAGTATAAAGATAAATAGTGATTCATATAGGATGAAACCGAGTCATTGGCAAGTTGGTATCAATACTCCTTTTCTGCTTCGATTGTTTTATAAGAAATTAAAATCGGAGGTCAAGATGCATGAAAAAAATGCTGATATGTTTCATTTCAAAGAAACTGGTTCTGATTGGTTTATGTCCCCTGTTGTAACTTTAATTTTTCTATAAAAATCGGTCTGGAGACGAGCTTTCTAGTTTGACTAGGTTCCAAACCCTTTTAATAATTTGTGTGTTCTTTGTTTCTTAGATTGGAGGTATATTTTTGACTCTTCGTCTAAAACATCAAAACCATAGGACCCGCTCTAAGAGTTGATTATTAATTGAACAAGACACCACAAATCATCTAAAACCTATCATTCAAAACAACAATTAAATTACTAATTGGAAAAGAAAAAAAAATCATATTTCCTTATTTTGATATATTTTTTATTTTATCAATCACTAAGGGGCCGTTTACTTAAACACTTACCCTGTAAGCATTTACTGGTAAAATTCAACACTATCACTTATTTACCAATTAAGATTTTATTCACTAAAACGCATCGTATGCAACAATTTATCCCGGTAAGCGCTAACCATGGTAAGAATCCTCGTTCTCATTTACCGGTAAGACTCTCGATTTTTGTCTTCGCTCTTACCGGGTAAGATTTTTAGTTCTTGTCATATTCATCCGGTAAAGTAAAGTGACTTGATAAACACTTATTCGGATAAGCGTTAGGTAAACTGCACTTAAGACACATGATTCATTATTTTTCTCTCCCAATTGATTTTTGCATTATTTTTCAAAATACATATTAATAGATAAAGACAAATAATAATATTACTATTTAAAAAAATCAATATTTGATTTAATACATAATTTATTGAGAGTAGTTGAGTGATTATCAGTTATATAAAATAAATTAAAATTTTGTAAATCAATATTACAAATATCTTGTAATAATAAGTGTAAGACAAATAAAAAAAATTAGATATCATTTACTAAATACTTACCAGGTAAACGTTTACTGGAATTTATTTATCTTACAATTAACATGAGAATGACAGAGAATCGTACTGCCCAATTGTTGGAGATGCTCTAATAACCCACACTTTTTGGTTATAAGAACTTTGCATTGGAAATGCTGAAAAGAATAGGATTGTTACATGGTAAGCATGGTAAAAGATACTTACCAAAAATCTATTTTGATGAGTGATAACAAAATATTGTTACCCAATAAGGTAAGTAAAGATGGTGATTTACGGTAGAAAACATTTAGTAATCGATCCCTTAAAAGAAAGTCTTTTATGTAACTTAAAGAAATCATAAAAATTATTATTGAATATTATATGATTAATTTTGGTTTCTATGTTTATTAGAGGCCTTAACTGTATACCGCACTTGGTAAGGTTTTGAACTCATAACTCGTGTATTGCTGGGCCAATCATCATACAATAGGAATTGTTGATTTGTTGTCATTATATAATATTTTTGTTTTAAACCATATAAACAAAAAGAACAATAAATTTTAAATTATAAAAACATAAAAATAAAAATAAAAATAAAAATAAAAAATAACAGTTTTAAATTTAAAAAAAAACAACTTATTGACTTATTTGGATGCGACACCGATAATAAATATTTTTGAGTGTTTGGATAAACAGCTTATATCTGTGCCAAACCGATAATAATTTTTTTTTTAAAAATTAAATCTTTTTTACTTATAATAAATTGATAAATATTTTTATAAAAAATTTAAGATAAGCTATCCCAAATACCCATTTAGTGGATTTTTAGGAAGGTATAAGATTTATTTGGGTGAAAAGAATATTTAAAGATTTGGATGAGTGTGTGTTTGTGTGTGAGAGAGAAAGATAAAGAACAAGTGTTGAGAGTTGGGTACTTGAGTGTCTCTTTATATCTGTGTGTTTTTGGGGGTTTCTAATACCAAAGTGAGAGGGCAATGCGCACACCGGCGCAATATACGCCTCAGCGCCTCTACTCTTTTTTCCCACCATACTCCCTTTTCTCCGGCTAACCTACGCCTTACCGTTACATTGTTCTTAATTAATGCTTCAACGCCGCTCACCGCCGTTCATGGCGGCCGCTGCTCTTCTCCTCTTCCTCCTCCTCCTCTCCGGCGCCACTTTGTTGATATTTGCAGAAACCCTACCCGAGATCGAAGCACTTGTTGATTTCAAGCTCAACCTCCATGATCCACTTGGTGCACTCACCAGCTGGGACGCATCCACTCCTGCTGCTCCATGCGACTGGCGGGGCGTCGGTTGCTCCGGCGGCCACGTCACCGACCTTCGTCTCCCTCGCCTCCAGCTACGCGGTGTACTCTCGAGCAAACTTGGTAACTTGCGGATGCTGCGTAGGTTGAGCCTACGTTCGAACAACTTCAATGGTAGCATTCCTTCGTCTCTATCGAAATGCGATCTTTTGCAGTATGTTTTTCTTCAGTATAACTCGTTTTCCGGTAACATTCCGCCGGAGATCTCGAACCTTAACGAGCTTTTGATATTTAATGTCGCCGGAAACAATATATCCGGTGAAGTTCCCGATAATCTCCCTTCAGGCCTACGGTACCTCGATCTCTCCTCAAACTCGCTTTCCGGCGAATTGCCGAATAACCTCTCTGATTTACCTGATCTTCAACTCATTAACCTCTCATACAATCTCTTCACTGGTGCGATTCCGGAGAGATATGGGGCTTTACAGAAGCTTGAGTTCCTCTGGCTCGATCACAATCAGTTGCAAGGGACGTTACCTTCGGCTATAGCAAACTGTACTTCACTCGTTCATTTTAGCGCGGATGGCAATGCAATCGGAGGTGTTATTCCGGCGGGGATAGGCTCGATTCCTAAGCTACAAGTAATCTCTCTCTCTAACAATAATCTCACTGGTTTGATTCCTGCATCTATCTTCTGCAACGTTTCGGCTTATCCACCCTCGATTAAGAACGTTCAGTTAGGGTTTAATGCGTTCACGGATATTGTACCTCCTCCATCTGCTAGCTGTTTTAGTGTTCTGCAAGTTTTGGATCTTCAACAGAATCAGATTCACGGGGGTATTCCATCCTGGCTGACAAATTTATCTACACTAACAGCTTTGGATGTTTCCGGCAATCATTTGTCGGGTAAAATTCCGACTGGGATTGGGAATTTGTGGCGATTGGAGGAGCTAAAGTTGGCAAATAATTCGTTAACTGGTTTTTTTCCAAGTGACATCAAACAAATCAGTAACCTAAGGGTTTTGAATCTTGAAGGGAATTTGTTTACTGGTGAAATCCCCAAATTTTTAAGTGAACTAAGAGGGCTTCAGATGCTATATTTGGGTGGAAATCGATTCAATGGTAGCATTCCTCCAAGTTTTAGCAATCTTCCACTGCTTGAAACACTGAGCTTGAGAGATAACAGTCTCACCGGAAACTTACCGGAAGACCTCATGTCAATGAGCAATCTTACGACCTTGGACCTTAAGGGAAACAGGTTCTCCGGTGAACTTCCGGTAACCATTGGTAATTTGAAAGGGCTATCAGTTTTGAACTTGGGTGGGAATGGGTTTGGTGGTAAGATTCCGGGAAGCATTGGGAGTCTCTATAAGTTGATTTCCCTTGATTTGAGCAAACAGAATCTCAACGGAGAGTTGCCGTTGGATCTTTTTGGCTTGCCTAATTTACAAGTGATTGCTTTGCAAGAAAACAAGTTCTCTGGAGATGTTCCCGAAGGTTTCAGCAGTTTATTAGGTTTGCATTACTTGAATCTCTCTTCGAATTTGTTTTCCGGCCACATTCCTTCAACTTTTAGCTTTCTCAAGTCATTGGTTGTTCTATCTTTGTCAAATAACAATGTCTCCGGCAAGATCCCACCGGAGCTTGGCAATTGTTCTGATCTTCAGATTCTTGATCTGGGTTCCAACACTTTGAGTGGGAAAATCCCTGCTGATCTTTCACGGCTCTCCCATTTGACCCAACTCGATTTGAGCAGGAACAATCTCTCGGGTGAAATCCCATCAGAATTTTCTGGCATCCCGTCCCTGGATTCGGTTGATCTAAACTCTAACCATCTTTCCGGCAACATTCCCGTAACATTCTCCAATTTGTCTAACCTCGCTTCACTAGACCTCAGTTCGAACAACTTGACCGGTGAGATACCAGCAAATCTTACAGCCATTTCAAGCTTGATCTATCTTAATGTGTCGAACAATGACCTGGAAGGGCAAATACCCGAACCATTGGCTTCTAGATTCAACAATGGATCTCTTTTTGTGGGTAATAGCGGTTTATGCGGGAAGCCGTTGGATCGAAAATGCCCGGGGATAAGCAGTGGTAGTAGGAAGAAAATGATTTGGCTGATTGTTGCGGCTGCTGCCGGAGCTTGTTTCATGGCGATCTGCTGTTGTTTCTATACATACAGTCTCTTCCGCTGGCGGAAACGGATTAAAGAACGGTCAAAAGGAGCGGAAAAGAAGCGAACTAGCCCACAAAGAAGCTCGGGGACTAGAAGTAGCGGTGAAAATGGCGGCCCGAAACTTGTTATGTTCAATAACAAGATCACTCTGGCCGAAACCCTTGAAGCAACCCGGCAATTCGATGAAGAAAACGTTTTGAGCCGAACTCGATTCGGGTTGATCTTCAAAGCGTGTTACAATGACGGCATGGTGTTGTCTATCCGCCGACTGCAAAACGGGTTGCTTGAAGAGAGCGCGTTCAAGAAAGAAGCTGAGTTGCTAGGGAAAGTCCGACACCGGAACCTGACCGTTCTCCGCGGGTATTACGCAGGCCCACCCGACCTTCGGCTTCTCGTGTACGACTACATGCCAAACGGAAACCTCGCGACGTTGCTTCAAGAAGCATCGCACCAAGACGGTCACGTCTTGAATTGGCCAATGCGGCACTTGATCGCACTTGGCATAGCCCGTGGACTAGCTTTCCTTCATTCGACCGCCACTGTCCATGGCGACATCAAGCCCCAAAACGTTCTTTTCGATGCCGATTTCGAAGCCCATGTCTCCGAATTCGGGCTAACACCACTTGCTGCCACGAGATCACCGGAAGCCACCGCTACCTCCACCTCCGGTTCAGTTGGGACATTGGGATATGTTTCGCCGGAAGCAATCCTAACCAAGGAAGTCACGGATGACTCTGATGTCTACAGTTTCGGCATCGTTTTGCTGGAGCTCTTAACCGGGAAGAAGCCGGTGATGTTTACACAAGATGAAGATATTGTGAAATGGGTGAAAAGACAGTTGCAAAGAGGTCAGGTTTCGGAGCTTTTGGAACCCGGTTTGCTGGAGTTGGATCCGGAATCATCAGAATGGGAAGAGTTTTTGCTGGGAGTGAAAGTCGGGTTACTTTGCACAGCACCCGACCCGCATGACCGACCCAGCATGGCAGATGTTGTGTTCATGCTTGAAGGGTGTCGGGTGGGACCGGATATTCCATCATCAGCTGAACCCACCTCCCAACCTTCCCCTGCGTAAATCCGGATCTGTATTGACCCGAAATAACCCGAGTTTGTTTTGTTAACATTAATTTTCTATTGATGTTATTTGAATGTAGTTGAGGAATTTGATATTTAAGAATCCATCGATTTTAGGGTGTGTATGTTTCATGTTTGTAATCATCTTAAATCTTATAGGGAGGTGATTTTAATTGAACCTCCTCTCCATCTTATTTTAACCATTTATGGCATGGATACCTGTTTACAACAAAGTACTTGTTAAAATATAGAAAATTTTCGATAAGTGAGACGACGACTCTTATCACTCCTACCCCGTGAATAAGTGATGGTGTTGAATTTTACTAGTAAGTGTTTATCGGGTAAACGGTCTCTAAGAGTTATATCCGATAAGTGAGGATAGTAACTCACTTGGTGCTTACCGGGTGATAAAAGCTTACTACTATTGATTCATTTTTTTCATTTGATGTTCGAGAATGTTACCTATAAGGTAAATGAGGATGGTGACTCGTGCTGGTAAATGACCCCTAATTAATAACTAAGAGACTGTTTACCTAACGCTTGCCAACAAGAGTTGTCATCCTAACCACAAGGATTGTGGTGTAGGGGTTGAGATATCTGTCTAGGGTTCGATCCCAACATACACAACAGTTATGTCTACTGATTTTTTTTCTAATTAACTTGGATATATAACCCGTTTTACGAATCAACTAATCCCAAAAACAACCACATGTTTTACAAGTAGCCTGAAATCCACAAAGAAATTTTTGTTCTCCTTGAATTTGAAACTCATACATTTTTAAAAAGGAATCACCATCCTCATTCTTTTTTATGGTTATATATTCTGGATCATTAAAATACATTTGAAGTTATTGATTGAAGCAAAAAGTGTTAAAATGGTAAGCTGGGGTTGGTGGTTTTGGGTCAAAGTACCAGCTGTAGAGTGTAGTGAAGGGTGGAAGGAGGCACGTGGCGAAGGGCTCCGGCGACTGTAGTAGTCACGTGGGAGGACCTGACAATAGAGCCGTTAATGCATCACACTTGATTTATTAAATAATTATTCGCTCTCCCCCACAAAAGTTCACTATTTTCCATAATTTAATATTTATGGCGTTCGCTGTGGTTTATATAAAAACCATTTTATTTTAATAGCATTTATTGCAACTTATTTTTTATAATTCGTATACTCGTCCCCAATATTCATGTAAAAAAATTATGATTGAAAAATGTAATAAGAAATTTTCATCTTTGATTAATTCTAATTGAATATTAACATTAATAAGATGTAATGAATCTAAAGTATAATTTATGAATAGATATGAAATTAAAAATGATCAAGAGTTCAGATCTCTTATTATGTTTCTCACCATAACGTTTTTTCTCATACGAATGATATAAGAAAAATATTAATTATTAAAACAAAGTATGTTTAAATAGCAAGGTTAAATATTGTGAAAAATTTAGAAAGAAAGGTTAAAGAAAAAATATTAGTCGCATACCTTATTTAATAAACGTATTAAACAAACCATTATTAAATTAAAAATGGTAGCATAATCTGTAATTGTATATCTGTAACTGTAATTATAATCTACAAGAAATCATGATTGAGTTTGTTTTCTAAACCAATTTCTAATAATCTTTAATAAATCGATTTAATCACACAGATAAATTAATTATAAGTTTTTAACACACATGATAATATGTTTGATGATTGTATCAAGCATATGTGATAATTATATATATTTTTATGATTATGTATATTTACATCTATAGATCTTCTTGTGATGCAAATATTATCGCATGTGATAATACCTTACATATTTCAGACGTCTATTATTATCACATGTGATAATACATAACTTATATTCACAAGTATATGTATGTTATCATATGTGATATATACAAAAAGGTAGATATATATGACACACAATAGATCATATATTAAACAAAATTAATCACATGTGATCCAAAGCATAGACCGAAAAAATAGTAAAAAAAATAATGAATTCGTTGTGGATATCGCATGTAATATTTGATGAAAATTAGCATGGAATCACATGCTAATTCTCTTAATTTAAAATTATTTTTCATTTTAATTTATAGTTTTTCTAATTGGGTTAAATGCATTAAATAACAACTTACTTTTATAATTTTTTTTATTATAATATTCTACTTTTGTTTTTCTTTATTACATCAATGTACTTCCAAATCATTTTTTATTAAGGTATCACACTTTAAAAAATCTACCTATTATAGCAATGAGTAACCTGTTACCTTTTAAACCGGTTTATCCCTTGACTTTTTTTGCTTGTGTGACTTTAATGAGGTGATGTGGATGACACATCATTTTGATGACTTAATTATTTATAAAAACACATTTCAAATTATTATTAGTGATTTTAATTTTTCATTACTATGATTTAAAAAACATTTTTTTTTTGTTAAGTTGCATGCAAATTAAATATTCTAGAGTAAAATATTTCTTAAATAAATATGCTACATTATTTTCGAAATATATTTTGTTTGTAAAAAATGTAACACTTCTTATTTTATGTTGTTAACAAAATACATATCCTTTAACCCTTTTTCTAAAATGTTAACGAAATAAATTGTGTTCTACAATTTTTTAATATTGTTATATTAATAAATAATTCAAAAAATTAATTAATTTAAGATATTTATACGTCAAGTAAAAGTTTTTAAACAAATATAATATATTCTTTAAAAGATAATATTTTTGTGGTAAAAAAGGAACAATTCTTATTTTCTTTTTTCAAAAAACACATATTTTAAAAAAATTATTAGCGAGATAAGTTGTCTTCTACTAGTTTTATTAATATTGATATATTAATGAATAATTTTTAGAATTTTTTTAATTCATTTAATATATTTATTAAATAACATGTAAAATATCTAAATATTAAAATTAAAAGTACATTATTAATAAGAACTAGTAGATGCTATAATAAAATAATTTTGAACGTATAATGTTGTAAGAAAAAAATCACATCACTATAGTACATGTGAACAGCCTACATGGACAATGAGGTGACATGAAAACCTGATATAATGAGTAAATTTAAATCAAAAAGTTACTCAATGCTATAATGGATGATAAAAATGGTTTGAAAGTACATTACTGTAATAAGAAAAACTGAAAGTACAATCATATAATAAAGAAATTTACAAAAGTAGTTTACTATTTTTTGCATTTTGCTATTTTCTAATTGATTTGTATCGTTTCTTGTCTCTTTATAAATTAACCCTCTTCTCATTTAAAACATTCCCATTTTCAAATCAATTATCACATACAAACACCTTTTTAACCTTCCATTTTACATTTTCATAACATTTATTAAAACAATTAATAAATTATTGATAATTTGCCATTTAATTTTGGTTACATAAAACCAAAAGGCAGCATGTGGTAACATCAGTCTCATTTTTGTCTGCAAATTTACACATTTATTTGTCTTGTTGTCAAGTACAAATTAATTGATGGGCAATTTATTTTATTAGGGTTCATAATGATATGTTTATTATGAAATTCAAAATTAACTGTTTAAATTTTAATCACATAAAAGATTAATGTATAATATTATTTTTTAGCTTAAAATTGAACAAATTCTATACAAACTTCAACCAGGTTTTTAAACTAATGAAATTGTGATAATCTTGAAAACTTGTGTATAATGTGTTATTTTATATGATTTTTTTTTTCATCTAAGACTAGGTTTTTATATAATGATTAACATTTATTTGTTTCACAATGTGTTTGCTCCACGTGTATTTGGTTCACAATGTGAACAATTTTGGTTGGTTTGTGGAACAAAAAATACACGTAAAAAGGTTTTATATTGTGAACCGAATACATGTGAAACATCTACATTGTGAAACAAATATACGTTAATTAATACATAAAATAGTATATTTTGATGAAAAAAGATCATGTGAAACAAAATCTTAAGATAAAAGTGCTCATGGATCTCACAAATTTTGCAGTTCTCAAAGTATTAAGCTCTTGAGATCATGTGAGACCAATACCTCCTAAGCTTAAAGACCCAAGAAGTTTTACTGAATGATGTAATGCCTTTCTGACCAATAGAATACCTCATAAGCTTAAAGACCCGAGAAGTTTTACTATTCCCTGTTCAATAGGTGGATAGAAGATTGAGAATGCCCTTTATGAGTTAGGTGCTAGTATTAACCTGATGCCCTTGTTTGTATTCAACACCTTAGGCATAAGGGAGGCTAGACCTACCACTGTTACATTTCAATTAACCAACAAATCCATTGCCTACCCAAGGGGAAAGATTGGGAATGTTTTAATACAAGTTGATTAGTTCAAATTTCCAATAGATTTTATCATTTTAGACATTGAGGTTGATAAATATATTCCTATAATTTTAGGAAGACCATTTTTGGCTACCGGAAGAATTTTGATAGATTTCCCAAATGGAGAGTTAACTATGAGACTTCAAGACCAAAATGTTACATTCAATGTCTTTCATTCCTCGAAATACCCTAATGATATAAAGGATTGTTCAACCATAGGAGAAATTGAATCAATATGTCATGATAAAGGAATTAAGAATGCCCTTAGGTTGAACGAAGAGAATGATGAGGAAGTACAAAATGGGGAGACTATTGAGGAGTTAGCTTTGATAGAGGATGATGTTGTTCTATTGCATGCTGCAGCATTTGAATTCTTGGAAAATAGTGAGAAAAAGAGCTTTACTCCGTCTATCATATCACCATCTAACCTGGAGTTGAAACAATTCCCATCTCATCCAAAATATGCTTTTTCTATGAGAAGATGGCAAATTGTTTGTCATCATATCATCTACCCTAGATTTGCATCAAAAAAAGAAGTTAGTGGATGTGGTTGAAGTTACACACTAAAGCCTTAGGATGGATCATTGCTGACCTTAAAGGGATTAGTCCTTCTATAAGTCAACATAAAATCATCCTAAAGAACAAGAACTCAATATCCATAGAACTACAAAAGTCAAACCTGTCATGAAAAAGGTAGTAAATAAGGAAGTTTTATAATTGTTGGAAGCATGAATTGTTTTCCTAATAGATAGTAGTTATTGGGTTACTCCAGTCCAGTGTGTTTCAAAGAAGGGAAGGTTTACAGTCCTCATTAATGATAAAAATGAACTCATCCCTACTAGAATAGTATCCGGATCGAGAATA